AGGGAGATCCTAAGGTCTCCAAAAATAAAACATAAAAAAAGAGTTGGGGATGTGGATCAGTGGTTAAGTGACCCAAGGTTCAAACTCCAGTACCAAACAAACAAAAACAGTGTCTGTGAAGTCTTAAGTGACTCTAGTCCTTGATTATTGCATCTACAGTGACACTGAGTATTGGGGAAAGAACATACCATGACAAAGCCTTGCGGTCTTCAAGGTATTGCATCATTTCCCAGCGATGGGTGATACAGTACCAATGTCAAGTTACTATGTCAAGTTTCATTGATCAAGAGGAGAAATAACATTAATGCTATATATATATTTTTTTGGTTTTGGTTTTTGTTTTTGTTTTTGGGTACTAGGGATTGAAGTAAAAGCTACATTTTTACCACTGAGCCACGTCCCCAGTCTTTTTCATTTTTTATTTTGAAACAGGGTCTCACTAAGTTGCTTAGGGCCTTGCTATGTTGCTGGGGCTAACCTCAAACTTGAGATCCTCCTGCCTCAGCCTCCCTAGTCACTGGGATTACAGATGTATATCCCCATGCCCAGCTAATGGTACCTTTCCTTTCTAAAAATCTCACTTCATGTTCACAAAAAAAAAAAAAACAACAACAACAACTTGTGAGGCAGTTACATTCATAGACCCATTTTACAGACAAGGAAAGTACAGAACTGGATGATGTAACTTTCCCAAGGTCTCTGGGCTGGTAAGAGGCAAATAGGGCCTAGAGTCCAATCCTCAAGTGACAGAGCCCCCCTGCCTCCCTCCACCAGTCTTGGTACACGTGTTGCCTGCTATTCCTTCATCTCCCATAACCCAGTGAAACCTGACAAGGTGTCCTCCTTAATTAAGTTACAACAAGAGGACTCAAAAGAATTAAATTGAGACAATGACACCGTAATCTGCATTCAGATAAACCAAAGATATTGTTTGGTCTTGAGTCATTTTTTTTTTTTTAATGGAAAACCGAGCTTGTTGAATGAAACATCAGAATATTTGGTTGGTTAAATTTAGCAACCAGAAAAATTCATCAGTAAGTGACTACAAAGAGACTGAGGTCACTCTGAATAGATTACCTTTTCGAATATCTACTATGCTGTTAGGAACTTCTCTAAGATTAGGAACTCTTGCAGGGACTTCCTCCTCCAAGCTGCTTCTGGCCATGCCTGGCATAAGTCAAGGTTGTGTCTAAATCACAGTTTATCCACTGGGAAACAACGCATCCAATACCATGGGAGGCTGTTTGGATATTGCCAGAAAATTCTTTGGGCTTTTTTTCTTTTCCTTTTGAACATTGGTAATCACCATTCTTCCAGCACTCTTTCCACCAGCCAGTACATTAGAATCGATTAAGAAGCACAATAGGGAAAAGAACTAACCACAGAATAATCAAATGCATTGTTAATTAAAAAAAAAAAAGTCATTTCCCTGACTCAAAGAACATAATGTCATATTGGCAAAAATAACCTACTCTCTTGTCCGGCCCACGAACTGAGAAGAAAATTAAACACAGAATTGCTTGTTTCATGTTTGCATTTCTCAGGGTGTGAAGCATTCATTTCCAAACCCTCACAAATCCTATACTTTCCATAACACAAAAATGTTCCCTTTAATCCGATTTAAACCAGGGAAGTGTGTTTTCCTCAGGAGGAGGATACTGTCCTAGTCCAAGAATCGGAGGCACGAGGCTTCTTAGATAAAGAAAGTAAAATCTTGGATAGTAGAATGTCTCAGTTCTCCTTTGGAGCTAATTCTCCCTCTCTTCCAAGAAGAAATAGAGCTTGGTGGACCATGTTAAGAAAATTCCAGCAACAGGTTTTCTCAGTCCCTTTGCTTTCTTTGCTAGATCATTTAAATAGTTTTACATTTTTCATTTAAAATTTAAATTAGGATACTTTTGAATTTGCTAGCTCATTTGTTTCTAAATGTTATTTCCAATGTTTATGGTATCTAAAGAATTTTTCTGGTGGTCTTAAAAGACACACCAGATAAAGATGGGTATTAGACTCGAATTTCTTTTATGAACAAAAATATTCCTGCAACATATCTTACTCTTTATAAAGATCACTCCCTACCTCAACAGATATTTTGAGAATAGGCAAGCTAGTGAGGCTTGCCTATAATCCCAGCTACTCTGGAGGCTGAAGCAAGAGGATGGCAAGTTTGAGGCCAGCTTCAGCAATTTAGTGAGACCCTATCTCAAAATAAAAAAATAAAAAGGGCTGAGGATGCAGTTCAGTGGCAAAACCCTCCAGGGTTCAATCCCTAGGATCAGGAGTATGGGGTAGGGAAGATAATTTTAATCTCTAAATATCTCAGAACTGAGGACACTAAAAAGCTGAATTTTACCTGTTGCTATCCAAATAGTATTTCAAAGATGTTTAAGGTAATCCCGTTAATTTTAAGGTTTTGGGTTCTTTGTTCTTTCAGTGCTGGGGATTGAACCCAGGGCATTGCACAAGGAAGTGTTGGGCAAGTGTTCCAAATCGCCAGCCCTCAGGTTTTCTTTTAAAATAGCTTAAAAGGATGTACTGGGCCTAAGTTTGTGTCCCTAGAATGTAACTTAAGTGATCAAACCTAAGGGTTTACAAAAAAGATTTTAATTGAATTTCTGAGAATTGATTTTTAAGCGTCTGTGATTCATTTTCTGCTCTAAAAACTTCAATACCCCAAGTTTGGGTTTTGAAAGGCAATGAATCTGGCTGAGGAAAGAAGTTGACTCTCACTCCATTTGGTTTTGGTTTGGGTTTTGGTTATTTCTGTTTGTGTTTTCAAGTTTGCGTTATTACAATGCCTTGGCGCTGCCGGATCCCTCTCTTTGTCCAAGTGTTTTGAGAGGACAGAGTTAAGGAGGATTTTATTTTTTTGTGTGTGTGTGTCTCCTTTATAAAACTTTTCAAAGGAAGAAAAGGAGTGGGTGGAGGAAGGGAAGGGATGGAAACCAAGCCCGTGAACTCTCCACTAGAGACAAGTCATGGATAAGATGGGGGCTCCCCACCCCTCCCCCACCCGGCCCTAGGAGCAGTTTTACTGTCATTCATTCTGCAGTGAGAGCTCTGTCCTGGGCATGTGTGCTGACGTTGGCCCAGTGGAAATGGAGCTACCAATGTGCAGCCGGACAATGCAAGTCCTCAGAAAAAACGTCACCACACCACTTTACTGGAGCTCAGAGAAAAGAGGGCTAACCTCAAAGGAGACCCACAGGCAAGGGACAATTAAGGAGGGACTTTGGAGTTTGATGAGGGTCCCACGGGAGAAAGGGCATTTCAGAAGGGAGAAAAAAAACAGCTGATGAAAATACACATCACATATTCAGGGATTTGAAAGAACATCCAGTTAAAAGTTTAGGGTGGGTGGGGTTGGTCTCCAGAGATGATTCTGGAAAGTTTATCTAGAGCCAGAGAAAGGAGGAAACATTGGGTCCACAAGGGTAAGCAGTTCTGAATGGCTCCTCTGGGCAAAGGGAGCTGTTGAAAGATGTGTTGGGGAGGCACAAGAAGCAGGCCCCCCCCCCGCCCTGGAAATATATTTATATTTATATATAAATATACAGCTAGGCAGGCACCAAAACTAGGTCCTGGGGATGTAGTAGTGAATGAAACAATAGTTCATTTATGGTGCCCTGGAGAATACTGGTGATACTAAAGAGCCATTATATACCAAGTAACAAATCCTGCACTTAGGAGATCTAATTTGATCCCCATCACTCTCAAGATATAACGTACTTTTAATATTCCCATTTTACCGAAAAGGAAACAAGCAAAGAAAGGCCTAGTTAGAAAGCAGTACAGTTCAGGATAGGAAACTGAGTGTCAAAGCCCACTTTTTTGGGGGGGAGGTGGTGCTGGGGGTTACTGGAAATTTAACCAGGAGTCCTTTACCACTGAGCTAAATCTCCCAGCTCTTTTTTTTTTTTTTTTAACTTTGAGACAGGATCTCAGTAAATTGCTTAGCCTTACTAAATTTTTGAGGCTGGCCTTGAACTTGTGATCCTGTCTCAGCCTCTGAAGTTGCTGGGATTATAGGCGTATGCCACCGTGCCCTGCTCAAAGCCCATTTTCTTAACTTCTCCATAAGATGGAGATTAAAGCCCTGCTATTCAGGAGGCTGAGGCAAGAAATCACTTGAGCCCAGGATTTCAAGACCAGCCTAAGACCTGGGTAACACAAGACCCAGTTTCAAAAAATTAAACTGGAGTTTACAGGGAGATTGAAGTGGAAGCTAAGAAAATCCTAGCCCCCTTGTCAAAGTTGCAAGCCCCCCTCACAGATATTAATAGGGGTTTCATTCAAAGCCATGTGGGTACTTAAAATCATCCCTTATATCCAAGCAAGGTGGCATATACCTGTAATCTTAATGACTCAGAAGGCTGAGACAGGAGAATTCCAAATCTGAGGCCTGCCTTAGCAATTCAGCAAGACCTTGTCTCAAAATAAAAAAAATAAAAACAACTTGGCATGTAGCTTAGTTGTAAAGCACCCCTCAGTTCAATCCCCAGTACCAAATTTTTAAAAAATTTAAAAAAAAATCCCTTGCTTTCACCTTTTAATAAAAGCAGCTTTTCCTGAGTCCTGTAGCAGTTATGCACCAGATAGCCCAGGCTAGGCCCCCAGAGGGCTCTGTGTGCCTGGAGACATTCTCAGTTATGGGTGCAGGGTCCTTCACTTAAACACTGGGGTTCTCTCTTCAGTCTATCATACTCCTCCATGGATCCACATTAACCCCCTACCACTAATGGCGTCCATCACATCACCTGCCAACAAATGCAGTTTGTATTGTAAGGAAAAAAAAAAAACTTATAACTCCAAAGACATTATTAACTTCCATACCACAAAACTTGTAATATCAGTTTGCTGAAATAAAGTCACCAGTATTTAATTCTCCTTTAAAGGGTGTCTTCTATTATTATTATTTTAGAGTGCAATTTAGTCATCAAAGGTTTACTCAGACTCATGTTTATAAATTATATAGGGCAGGGATTTAACTCTTCTGGCCCTACCTGTTCTGAAGAGAGGGAGGGTCATAACCTTGTTGTCGCACCAGGCACCTGCCTTGAAAGGGGATGGTTTGTGAACTCTAGGTTCTAAACCTCTTTTAGAAATCTGGGTGAATATAGCGATTTCCCTTTATGACGCAGTCGGAGGAATAATAGTTGCCTGCTAACAGATACTGTTTTTTAACCTTCAGAAGCTCATTTGGAATCTTCATCTTTTTCAACTGAGTTTCAGAATCTTGTCTTAATTATGTGACATAATAATAGCGGCTTTCCAATTCATCTTTACAAGATCGTTTTTTTTTTCTTTGTGCTGGTCATGGTGTTTTTTTTTTTTTTTGAGGGGGAGGGGCTATTGCCTTAGATAAATAAAAGCATAGCAGAAAGGAATCTGGTTCACTGACTACTTAAGTCGTAAATTCCAAGTCCTGGCTTATATGTTTACATCCCGAGGGTGATGGCTGCGATTCAAGGGCTCATCCAAGTTCACCAGGGTGTAGGGACTTAAGGCAAAAGTGGCAAATTTCCCATGCAGCCCTCAAGTCCTAGCATCCCAAGTGGGTTTCGCCATCATAATGAAAGGGTGGGGGATGGGGTAGCAGGTGTTTTCCTTTCTTGATTCCTACGTTTGGAAGAGAAATATTTTCGAAGTTAAACTAACTGGCTTGGTCCTATGGAGGTGGTACTGAACCCCTTGAGATGCCAGAGGGGAAGACCACCATTTCCCTGCCGAATCATGCTTCCCACTCCCAGCGGCTCGCCCACGCGCCCCTCCGCCAAAGCCAAGCTGGAGGATCCTCACCGGCGTCCAACCCTGGATATTAAGAGATTCCTGTTGTTGGCAGAGTGTCCTGACTCGATTCTTTTGGGGCGAGATACATTCCAAGAATGTTTCTGTGGTCGGCGAGGAGTGGAAAAATCAGGGATAACAAATATTCTGAGGAAACCTAATAGTTACCAGGATCGCGAGATTCAAACAGGTGACAACAACAACACAAAAGGACGTGGCAAATGGAGTTCCATGAAGGATGAGCGCACACGCAGCGTGGTGCCGAGTATCGACTCCTATTCCCATTGACCCTCTTTCCTTTTCTTTCCTTGGCTGACACCGGCCAGAGGCAGCCGTCACTGTAGAGGGGGCTCAGAAGAGAGGGCGCGGGCGGAGCCTGGCTCTGCGCGCTGGAATCCAAAGTAAACACCTCGCAAGCCTACGTTTAGCAAGTGATACTGAACACCACACTCACGTTTAAAAAAAAAAAAAAAAAGAGTACTGTTTGCAGAGATGAGGGCGAAAACATTTCCCGACTGGAAAATTACTGATCACCAACTAAGGGGCGAGTGGGGTGGGGAGGCAGCGTTAGAAGATTGTAATAATGATCTCCTCTTCCTTTCCTCCTCCCGGTGGACACGGACGGCTGTGCCGGTTCGGTGTGCACTTTGGGGGAACCAGGGTCCCACCTTGGTCACGCCACTTCCTGGCACCTGGCTACTTTCCAGCTAAGTCCCTTTTGGTGGGCTTGACGTATTCGGAGCCTTGGCTTAAAACAACGAGCTATCGTTTGACCTCTACTTCGCCATTTCACCTCTTTATGACTCAGTTTTCCTATCCATAAAGTGGAAAGGAGAGTGCGTAGCTTGTAAAGTGCTTTGAGCTGTCTGGTTGAAAGGTGTCTCCGCGCCTCACAGTCCCTCTTCTCTTCTCCACCCACCAAAGTAAATCTTGAATGCTTTCACTCCTTTCTTCGCTCCTTTAAATATTAAAACTATGACTCTCTTCCCATTCTGGCTTCTCTCCGCCTGTTGCAGGAGAACACTCCTCCAGTCTTCTGAGGCTCCTATTCCTCGCCACCGAATGCTGCGCACCGCCTCCTCTCTATCCCCACCCCCACCAGGCAGGCAGCCCCACGAGGACCCGTGCGAGACCAGGCCCAGCGCCTGCCCCAGCACTGCGGGGCGGGAGCCGGACTCCAGCGTGCGTGTGCGAAAGAGGGCGGGCTGGATGAGTCACGCGGATAATCGCGCTATTCCACAGCGCGCAGAGAGCGCGGCGAGCGCGTACGCGCACAGGGGTGGGGTCGCGTCACTTTCCCCCTAGCCCCCATCAGCCTTCTGGGTAGCCAGCTTCGAACCCTGGGAAGCTGACCATGGCAGCGCGGAAGAACTAGTCGCGCAGCCACCGGACCTGCGCCCGCTTCTCCGCGGCC